CGTTTTTATTTTGGCAAATAGTGTTCAAACATGGACTAATTATGCTCAAAACGTTCGTCTCGTAATTTCCCACCAAACTGTGCAATTAGTTTTTATTTTCGTCTACCTTTAATGCTCCATGTATGGGCCGCAAACATTCGATGTGATAGGTACTGTAGCAATTTTTTGAACTTTGGGGTCCAACTAAACAAGGCGTTACATGGATTCCAGTTTTTTACAGGTTATTACTGAAATCAATGCAATCACATGGACGAACGAACGGCTCTCTGTTCTCTGCAGAACACTGAATGGCAACTGCATGACCCGTCAGAAAAAATGCACAAATTGCTGTGCAGTGCGATAATAAGCACAGGGGATCATCGTAAATTCATAATACTAGCTCCTGTGAGGTCTGAAGAACAGCGGTCACCTGAACCAAGACCTGGTTTGCTTAAGATCGATCACGAGGTGCAGAGAAGAAAGGCATTCGTGTTTGCACGACTCCAAACTCTGCCATCAAGAGCACGCCAAAAGTTCAGCTTAGATAGCTGCTGGAAAAATCCGTTCCGTGCTTGCCCACCAACGTATGCCACTCGTTGTCGTTCCACCGACAAATATGTGCTAATCAGTATGCCGTTGGGGTGGGCCATGATTTGAGCACATACTTATATACATAAACACAGGAAACAGGAAATAGAAATATGATATAGACCACCATAGGCTAGTCCAACTTCTCCAGGAAGCCCTACAAATAGAGGGAAAACACGCTTAAGATAAGCTGATCTCACTTAGCTTCTGTGTTTTAATACAAATGAGTCTGTACGAAGAAGGGTAGCTAGAAAAAATTGCAAAAAAAAATGCTCTGTTTGGCTTTTAGTTTAGCCTTTTTTAGGAGTAAAATACACTCTAGGTCCCTAAACTTGTCGTGTTGTGTCAACTAGGTCCCCAAACTCTCAAAGTGCCGACCAAAGGTCACTAAACTTGCTAATCAGTTCATATGAGGTCCATAGTTTACAACTAACTAATCTTTTTTTTTTAGTTCCTATACAGCTAACTACTCAGCACTGATCACAGAGGACGAAGAGAGTTCGTTTGAGCTCCAAAGCCATCCAGCTGGGGCGTGCTGTTGGGGTTGGGCCCTGCTCAGCTCAATGCCAAATAACGACAGGTTACAGTTCCCTTGCTCATCGGCAAATATTTCTGTTTGGTTTCGTGAGACCCCACCGCCACCGGAGATCAATGCTGCCAAGAAAGCCGGTTCGTTCTGGATCCAAAGCAGCTCGATTTCACCCATCTACGGCGGGGAATTCTAATTCTAATTCTACTGGGGCGATGGGTTTTCGGGACCATGAACTGCACGCATACTTTAGTTAGTTGATCAGGTACTGAGGTCTCTGATCGCGTCCACGGCTTATAAAGATAAAGAAGAGAGCAACATGTGGACTTGGCCTTGGCCGCTTCTTTGCAAGATCTCTCCTTGACTCGCGCAAACTACTATACTACTACTAGTAGTAGAGAGCATAGAAAGCATCATTGATCTGTGTTCTGAATACATACGACAACGGCGGAAAGTAGCCGTTGCCTTGGCAATGAAGGAATACAGGTAGCCGTTCCCGGCGATAGTTTATACATGGGTAATCGGTCGAAGCATTAATGCAGGTAGCACTCCAACGTAACGATCACTAAACTGAACTGCATGGATAAAATAAGAAGTACGTAGTAGATTATTTGGATCACCATATGCATACAACCTTATTACAACGGCCTGTATTTGATTATGTAGTTCTAGGGAGTATATTAGTCCTTAATTTTATTCAAAGCTGCTGCTGGACTGGAGGTAGCTAGAGCGGCATCAGTGTATGTAGCAGCATTTGCTGTGCCTGCAAGTTGCAAGCTAGTTGACCCCACGGCAAAGGCAGGGACGACGGACGCCTTGTTGGCCGGCATATATCCACGTGCCAAGTTGCGCCAGACTTGAAATGTGTCATGATTCTGTCTTCGGAACAACTTTGCTCATCACTCGTTACTGAGGTGGAGTATGCTGTATGCAGAAGCACAGCTGTAGTACAGGAGTGAAGAGCTCCAGAATAGTGATTATCTCTTTGTCTGAAACTTAAAAAACGAGCAGGCATCTTGTGCTGTTATGACCTTTACTTGGAACCCTGCTGAAAGGCTGAGTCATGGTGTTTGTCACTGCCTCACTGGTGATGTGCCTTTCGTATGCGTCAAGCGGCAGCTAGTTCATCTGTACCGCGATCGATCGATGGCTGCTAGCTTCGGATCGGTTTCACTCTTCATCTGCAGTTTCAAATGCTGACATGTCACATGAGGGGTTGTGGATGGGCACGCGAATTGCATGCAAAGGCATGGTGGTTCATCCATCCGCAGACGGCAGGCTGGATGGGAGTCGCCTTGTGCGATGTCATGGAGGCATGGAGACCCCACGGCATGTTCCCCAGTAGAAGACCCACTGTCCTAGCTGTGCAGTGCAGCTTGATCCATATATATGCCTTCAATTCAAGCCACGTACGTCCAGGCTTGCGGCGAGAAGGATCAGGTGGTCGGTCACATGAACGCCACGTCAGCTCTGGACGTTCAGATCCAGTGCTCAGCATTTCTCGGGACGGGCCTGACATAGCACATGGTCATGTCTACCCATCCTTGACCGGTTACAGCCGCGTGATTAGTTAGACCTGAGCAAAAGTTAGGCCACGGCGTGTTTGGGTGAAGCCTACAAAAAGGCCAACTGGGCTGCAATCTAGCCGACTGCAAGTGAAAGTTACACTCCACTGCTCAGGTCTACTTGTGATGAGTTTCGAGGAAACGAACATCTGAGAAAAGCCCAAGCGAGCTTTGTACGTAACGTAAATCCTACCCGCGGCCATGTGTTGCTTTCCACTCTACGAGCATCTCCAAGAGTCATGGAAACCCACTTCCAATCTTGATTTTTTAGCAAGATTGAATAAAAAAACTGCTTCCCAAGAACTCCCTGTTTCATCTCCCGATCTTTATGCACTCGGAAAATCAAACGATCGCGCGAAATATATACACACATGGTTATTAATCGGCCAAACCGGAGGTGGAAGAACGTGGAGAAGATTAAAGAGTAGAACAGAGTTTCCAATGCAAATGTGTAAGGTAGAAAATATAAAAGTGATTAGGCTGATTTTGGAAATAGTTCAGGATTCTAAATGCAAAATTGCATCTATATTTAAGGAGCAAGATTTTAGAAATCATTGGAAAAACAAAATGTGCTCCCAATTTTTAAGCGAGATGGAAAACACATTGATTTACAATGATTTTTCAGGAACTATTAGACATGCTCCAGTCTAAGCTAGCCTCACGCAGCCTATGTTTTGTGGCTCCTTACTTAGGGTTCACCATATATTTCTGGCCTTACCTAGGGATGCAAATTGCCAAATTGAACTATGGTTAGAATTACCTAAATAATTAATTAAACCAAACATATTTAATAAAAAATTATTTAAATTAGTCATATGATCGTTTAGAATTATACTCCCTCTGTCATATAAAATAGAGACTTATAATTCAGTTAAAGTCAAATTATTGTAAATTTGATTAAATTTATAGAAAACATATCGACATTTATGATATCAAATCAATACAATTCAATTTACCATGTAATATAGTTTCATATATCTAACTTGTGTAATAAATATTGGTATTATTCTCTATAAATTCATTCTTTATTCAACTCTGACTAAACTGGTAAACTGTTCGGTGGTCTGTTTTCGGTATATTTAAAGGTGTGTTTGCTTTGCATCTCCTAAAGTTTAGTCACCTAAACCACCTCATAAACTTTAGTTACCTAAACCACCTCATAAACTTTAGGCTGTGTTTGTTTCCTCTGAGCAAAAGTTTAGCTCTTTGATACCAATTAAGAGTATTAAACATAGCCTAATTATAAAACTAATTACCCAGATTGAGGCTAATTTGCGAGACGAATCTATTAAATCTAATTAGTCCATGATTTGACAATGTGCTGCTATAGTAAACATTTGCTAATTATGGATTAATTAGGCTTAATATACTCGTCTCGCTAATTAGTCTATTCCTGTGCAATTAGTTTTATAGTTAGCTCATGTTTAGTCCTTCTAATTATCATCCGAACTTTCGATGTGATACGGCTAAACTTTAGCCCCTAGATCCAGACATAGCCTAGTCACCGTCTATTTGGTTTGATGGACTAAAAGATTTTAGTCTCTGTTAGCCAGGGTGTTTAGCTCCAAAGTGACTAAAAAGGTGAGGCAACTTGAGTAAAAGGTGAGGTTTAATCTCATTTAGCAACATTTGAGTGACTAATTGACTAAAGCTTGTTTAGTCAAAATATTTGAATAGAAAATGACTAAATAGGATTAAATAGAACTAGATTTAGATTTAGGAGATGAAGAGTGACCCAAACACCCGTGAGCATTAGCCTACGCTACTACTGTTTTTTTTTAGAAAAGAGTTGGATTTTTATTAATATAGGAAAAGAACTAATACATCCAGCCCCCATATAAAGGGCACCCCTCAAGAAAATAAAAATTACAGCTAAGTCCTCTGGAGCACCCCGCAGCCTTCGCCGTCGCCGACCGATGTTGCAGCGAGCCGGTCCTTCTCCACCTCCCGCAATGAAGAAGACACGGAATGAAGCTCATGGCCGAATTCCGGATCGACGAAGAATCTTCATCAAAGTTTAAGGATTCCATAAAAAACACGCCGAAGGCGTGCTGTTGATTCGTTGAACGCACCGGCCAAAGGCAAGCTGCCATCTCCTCGTCGTTGCCGGGATCTGACGCCAGTTGCCTCACCATCCAACCCCAGACGACGACCAGCAAACCCACGAGGGGGATCTGCATACACCAACCCGAACACACAGGAAGGTGGATAGCTAACCTCACAAGGAAACTTCTGACGCGACCACCAGAATTTCCTTTGAGGGACAAAAGATGGATGGATGACACCCCACCCCCATCGATACGTCCACCAAAACTCCTCCACGTACCCGCCGCCATACAATGGCTTACGAGACCAGCATCGACGATGAAGGCATGGGCATCACCGACACAGAGGAATCGAACACCAACGCAAAGGAATACATCGATGGCATACCCGTCACTGTCGAATCCCCTGCAAAAGATGCTGTCGCCGAGCACCACGCACCCACCAGCCACCACCGAGACTCGCTCACCATGGAAGGAGACGAAAGCAGAGAAGCTGAGGAAGAACCAAAACGAGACCCGACGATTTTCTCACCTTGACAAAATCCAACCCTAAACTACCTAAAACTACCCTAATAGGAGGGGATATGTACACTGCCCGCCGGATCCGCAGGCCCCCCAGCTCACCGGTGCCACCGAGGCCGCCGGAGGCAAGGGAAAGCCGGCCAATCCGGCGGCAGAACCGCAACCGCCTCGGAGCCGCCCTTGCGAAGAGTCGGGAAGAGACGAGAGGTAACTGGAGCCTAGCGAATGCCTACGCTACTACTGCTCAGTCAGCGGCATTTCCTTCCAAGTTCCTCCTGGCCCAGCCCCACGTTGCGGTATCGGCCTGGCCCAAAGGGGCAGCCCAAAGTTTCGGCCCACCATGCGAGCAACATAAGCCACGCTCTCCAGCGCCGTCGCGCAAACCCTAGCGGCCGCAGTCGGCCAGTTGCGCGTGCTCTCCGCCGCTCACCAACCGCCGGTTCGCCCAACGCCGCTCGCCGCCCGCCCGCCCGCCCGCCCGCAGTCGCGTATCACCAAACCTCCTATTTTCGCTGCCGATCGGGGGCCCCGTAAGACGTTACCAAGGAAGGCGGCGTCATGAGGTTGGAGAAGTGCTGGTTCTGCTCCTCCACTATCTACCCCGGCCATGGAATCCAGTTCGTCCGCAACGATGCCAAGGTGCTTCTCTTCTTCTTGTTTCCTCGTAGGTTTCCTTGATTGATTGACACAAGGAGCGCGCCCTGGGTTTCATTTATTTCTTGGAATTCAATTACTTTGTACAACTTCATATATGCTTTGTTTGGTGGTGTCATGTAACCATTACTGAGTCCAAACTGTTAGCTGCTTGTGTTGAATCAATTTCTTGCCTGGGTTATATTTGGGAGACCGTGTTAGTTTCTGTTGCCCAATCGCATATTTTAGTTTCTGGCTCACGACGTTGGATGGACCATGCCCCTGAATTTGTATCAGTCTGGGGATATATCCGGCACTACAGGTTAAATGGAAATATGGTTCCTATAAAAATCTTACGGTATGTCTTTGATTGCTGAGCTGGTGTGAGAAGTTATTACTTAACAGTGTAAATATATAAATAATGGATTGCTGTGTCTTCCTGTCAAGAACTGGCTCCTTAGCATTTCCTTATCTGCTGTAGAACTGCTAAGCAAGTTAGAGAACCTTTTGCCCTTTTCTTTTTCCAGTTCATCATTATGAAGCAAACCTTCTATTAAAAACGAAATTTAGGGATGAACTGATAATGGTGATCATTTTGTTTGTGCGGGAGTCAAACAGAAAATTAGGCAAATGGTGCCTGTCCCTCTTCAGAGAATTGATAGTTTGATACTGTCACCTGGTTAGATATGTTAGTAGAAAAATTTTAACGGTGCTAATTAGATGTAAATGGAAATCATATGGCATGGCATTTCTTGATGCATAGGATTGCCTTGTTGTAAGCACTGAACACTGCATAAAAGATGTTAGAACCAAAATCTGGTCTTCACTTGAGGAACTTGGCCTAATTATTTGGCTTAGAAGCTGCAGCTTACATGCATGGTAACTGCAGCATTGATTTGTGGTTTTAGCTATTCCCTCCACTTCATTTTATAAAGGCTCATGCGCATTAAATTCAGGCTTGTGCGCATTAAGCCGGACTTTGTAATCTTTAACCAACAATTAGCCTCAACAGATTTTCATTTTGTTGGTGTGAAAATGATATAATTGGATTCACGTTTTACTGCATTTTCTTATGGTTATAATTTTGTTTCTGTAAGCACCGCATTATAAGAAATTAAGAGTCGATATCTAGTTTTCGAGACCATGCCTCGAAGTCTATCAATGCCTTAAGTTTTGCAATGTAGGGACTACCAGCTATAACTCCTTAGTTACCTGCTTTGTTTGTGAGACAGTTCGGCGTAAGAGTTCTTTGCTCCTTGTCCAATGGGGTTTTCCCTACTCCTGTTGTTGTTTCTTGATGGATGTAGTCAGTGAATTTAATACTGTATAGTGACAAAAGAGCACTAGACTGTATTTTTATCTGTTTAATTTCAGATTCAGAATCTACTAGAAGATATGCAATTGTGGCATAATGCTTACAATAACTCAATGTTCTGTAGACTAGGTAACTTAATTTTACTTTAAAGAAAACTAAGATCTAACTAAATAGTATGTTTTGTACTGTTCCAGCATGCGCAATTCTGTTTTCTATATCATTTTGCATGTAATTTCTAGTTAACTCGTTGTGTTATCCTGGATTCCTGGTTATTCAGTAATGCTTATTCGTACTGTTTCTGATTCCCATAAATGTTATTATTGTATTCTGTGAACGGTGGCCTCCTTGATGAATTCAAGGAAAATATAAAATACCGCATTGCTTGGTCTGCAATAGAAGAACATGTAGGCTTGCTTGTTAGATCATTGTAATGTGTATCTGTTAGGAGCGGCCAGTGTTCTTTAAGGAACAATATGGTATTTTGGTACATGCGACAACACACCTTTGAAAATTTTATGGGCCTAGAATGTAAAGTTGGATCTTTTGTCTTCTGGCTATATGTAAATGAAGCTGCTTTATTTATATACTTTACAAATAGTCTTCATTAGCCGTGTTTAAATATGACCCATCAGTTTTACATTCTTTTGTTGATTGATGATTATCCTTATTAAGATGTTCAGGGGTTCTATTTTTCTTCTAGATTAAAATTGAAAGGTAAAATATGTCGTTGTAATTTTCTTTTGACTGATATGTTATGTCTGCCCCCCCATGAATTACGATTTTTAGTTTTAATGTTCAAATTTATCTTCTTTCTAGACTGTTAAAGTGTTTATTGCGAAAATTGTTTTGCATGAATACTTCAGAGCAATATAAGGCAATGCATATGCTTTTCTTGCCTTTAAAATAAATTTTGTAGTTTCTATTTTGTATCTTGTTGGTACCCTGTAAGAGTGATTGGGTAATTCTTCTTGCCAGATCTTCCGCTTTTGCCGGTCAAAGTGTCATAAAAATTTTAAGATGAAGAGAAATCCTCGTAAGGTTAAGTGGACAAAAGCATACAGGCAATTGCATGGCAAAGACATGACAAAGGTTAGTAAGCACTTTGTTGTTTCTAATATCATGTAATAATCAGAGGTCATATTTCTTCCTATTGAAACCATGACTGGTATTCTTTGAAATTTACCAGGATACAACCTTTGAGTTTGAGAGGAAGAGGAACAGGCCTGAGCGCTATGACCGCAATTTGACGGAGCAAACTCTGAAGGCCATCCCACTTATTACAAAGATTAGGCATGACCGCCTGGAGAAGCACATTTCTAACAGGTTCGTTCTTGTACTCCAACTTGTCGTCTGTATGATTTTGCAAGGATTTTCATGTCTGACATGGAGTACATCTTTTGACAGACAAAAACCTGGTAAACGCAAGGAGATGGAGAAAGATTCTAAGGAGCTGGATCAGGACATCGGCATGCTTCCGAAGAAGCTTATTAGCAACGAGCTCGCAGCCGAGAAAACAAAGGTCAAGGTCAAAGTTGTTCAGCAGCAGACAGAAGATAATGCTATGGAAGAGTAGTGCGTGGCATTGTGTCGCCTGTGTTCTTGCCCGATGCAGATCTTTTTGTATTTACCTATTATGAAGTTGATGAAAGATGTTTAGACAATATATGCATGGATTTAGTATCAGCAAGTTTTCCGTGTGGTTCCTGATACCTACACTGGAGTTGGTATGTGAGATAAATTTTGATAGGAGTCTTCTGTCTTCCAGCTCGGTCTAAACTCTGTAACTGTACCTGCTCATGACATTTACCTATTATAGGTGTAACTTTGTTCGAGGAAAAAAAACTTATTGGTGTAACTTTAAGTAAACGAATACTCTCCTTGCAAACACCCGTTCTGACCTATTTTTGTCAGCCTAGGATTTCATCCTTTGTTGGGCCCCGAGTAGTTGTTTAATCGCCCGAGGTTGTTTGCATTCTTGCTGCTACTTTTGTAATTTCGGCCGCGTTTAGTTCGGCCTCTCGAATCGGCGCCGCCGGATTCGGTGCGCCACTGTAGCGTTTTGTTTTTATTTGGTAATAATTGTCCAATCGTTGACTAATTATGCTCAAAACGTTCATCTCATAAAGTACAATTAAACTATGCAATTAGTTTTTGATTTCGTCAACATATAGTACTCCATGCATATACCACAAATTTAATGTGATAGAGAATCTTCTTTTTGCATAATGATAAATTCTGGAATTTTGGGTAACTAAACATGGCCATGTTATTTGAAAAACACTGAAGGCAAGACACGCTGCATCACAAATCAGATCAGAGGCTCTTTCTGCTTCAGTAGATCAACTAGTGGAAGAGTAAAAAATGCTTTGGTAGGAGCTATGATAGACTGCCCACAACGTGAGCGATGCTGAAACACCTCGTGAAATAGTTTTTTTATTCGTTTCAGCACCGATGCTTCTACATGCCTCGATGCCTGAGTTTATGCCTGAGTTTTCTGGCACCAGCACCGCCCCCTGCAACGTGTTGCATCGATACTGAACTCTTCTCTCTCTTCGTTTCAACATTCTCTCTCCTTGTTACAGTGGTTGGCGGAGGGAAGCTGGTACTTCGGCTGTCTTTGGCAGGGCTCTTGCCGAGCGGCTCCGGCTCTGTCTCTCCTGCCCGCGCGCTACTGTGCAGGCTCCGGCTTCGTGTAGCATGGGAGGAGAGCCGGAGGAGCACAACAGTGCCGGACGCGGGAGCCGGCCAGAGCCCCGCCAAACACGGCCTTCAAGGTACATTTGCTTGTGAAATTTTCTGGCCATTGATCTGTGGAAGGTAATTAGTCAATAGAATTGATTTAATCAAGGCATATTAGTAATCGCAAACTTTGCGTCCGTAATTTGTTTACAGCGGAATTCTCCCATTAATCAGCCCGCACAATTTACTCTTTCAATTACAGTATCTACACTGCCACCGCGCTCGGATCGGCATGCTGAGGCCGCCTCTGTTGCCGCTTGCTTACCTCGACACCACTGCCACCTCCGGTCTTGGTGTTGAAGACGCCTCCTTCGGGTTAGGCCCCGTGGATGATCTGATGCTGAACTAGTGTGGGGTGCAGACCGATAGGAAGGCAACTGATTCGCGTAGTGTTATGACCGGACGACAGTACTCTAGGCGGTCGAAGCCAGGCCAGGATGTGGCGTGCGGCGAGCTCGGCCAGGTCATGGTTATCAGCTAAGTGTTTGTTAGGATTAAGATTGTTTTATTAGCAGTAGATCAGGTTGTTAGCAGTAGGTCTATTTATTTGGAGGATTATTGTGATGAGAACTCAAGGAATAGATTGATCTTCTTTACCCTCGCTCTCTATCCCATTAATTCTCTCTTTCTCTTTCCCCCAAACCGTTAAATGAATAAGTGATAATTCATCACCAAACCATTAAATGAATATTACTACTCCCTCCATGTTCCTAAAGAAAGTCGTTTTGAGGTTGTCTTAAGTCAAATATTTTAAACTTTGACTACAAATACATTCTTTTGGGTTGATTTTGAAAATATGAAAGTGATGTAAGTAGATTCATCTCGAAATGTAGTTTTATAAAAGTATATATATTGACTATATTCTATAAATATTTTATAACAAAAAGTAGTGGTCAAAGTTGTTTTTTTTTTAAGATCGTGTCGATGTCCAAAACGATTTTTTTTCAATATTAAAAGGTCCGTTCCCTTTCTTGAAATTAAGTAAATCATATAAGTTGTTAATGCTCATTCCCTTTCTGAACACTTGCATGAAAGGGTCAAATTTTCAATACTCTAGCTCTTTTACAAGTTCAGCATCGCATATATTTAGGTTCGTACGAAACTATATTATATGATATGGCAATGAGAAGTTTGAGTCCACTAGTCCAGTATCACGTTTCATATTAGCTATAAACTGTTGGTACTTTCAGCTTGTTCTTACCAACATCTAAAGAGTATCACTGCATCCTATTAACTACGGTATATAAAACATAGTGTTGTACCTGTGAACCGATGAGTACAACCTATTTTCTCCATGTTATACTGAAATAGTCTCTCCGAACATCCCATTGGTGAAACAGATTTGCATGCAACTAGAGACATTGTTGGGCAAGAAATCGAGGATGGCATAGGAAAACTCAACATATGCCCGTGAAAACTGCATCCTGATGTTGTCTTGTTGGATGGCAGACAACATGGAAGACAATGAACCTGAAGAAGACAGCAACCTCATCTATGCTGAAAAAGTTTTGCCCGTGGCTGAAGAAAATTCAGCAGACGAACACCACCACCCTGTCCTCTCTAGGCCTGAATCCCTGATGGGCAGCCGGGGCGAAGAATCATCGCCCAAATGCAGCAATTTTCATAATGCCTCAAAGCCAGATGCATGAGCATCTTGTTCACAAAAAAAAGATGCATGAGCATCTGAGTTAGCTTGACGTGTGTGACTTTACCGTCTTGCATGCCACTTGTTCTGATTCCATCGGTCCATCCTTTGCATGTATGTGCCTACATGTGGGTGTACATCTTCTGTGGCAAGGACAGGAGATTTGACGTCCCTTGTTTTCTAATGATGATTTCAGCCCCAATCTTTGTGACGCTGATCAGCAAATATCTTTCAAAGAATCTTCTAAAGAGGCGTATCCTGTTTACGTGATGAACTGAGGTGTTGTTTGGTTCCAGATACCGAGCAGTAACGTAAATGGAAACAAGTACCGCCGCTACCTGTTGCATGCAATGGAAAACGTTAATTTGTTTGGTTGGTTATAAGATATCCTTGATCCATTCCCGTTGCTCGGCGTAAACAGTTAAGGCCTAGAGGTGGGCGGTAACGACGTTTCACGTATCCAGATTCGATTCCTCCGTGAACGGCTCCACTGCTGCTGAAACAAACACGTAGCAACGGGAACTAATAGCAGCGCAAACAGTTACCGGGTGGAAAACGTCGAAACAAACAGCACCTGAGTCCACACACCTTACAGTGACGAGGTTAATCCATGGAAAAATGACAAACACCGACGGTGACACAAGTGACCTGCAACTGATGGAACTTGACATAGGTCATCGTTGAGCTGATCCGCAATTGTTGTCGCGTGATAAGCTTAATTCACCTGCTATTTGCGGCGAATCCTAGAAAAAAAAAAAATTCTCAGGCTGAGCCTGGCTAAGACTCAGGTGTGGGCGTGCGGCATGTATACACGCCGACACCGCACAACGGGGCACAGCCCACAGCCCAACTCACGCCTATGCGGCCCAACGCGACGCACACTTGTCCTCTGTCTTCCAGCTCGGTCTAAACTCTGTGGCGTAGCTTCTTCCGACCCGCGCTCTCCTTGAACGGAAGTTCGAAAGACATTGCCGGAGATGTCGTTGATGGCCACCAAGCTCGTCAACACCGCCGAGGTCGCCTCGTCGGACGCGCAAACCCTAGTCGCGGTAAACCCCTCCGCCACCCACCTCTCTTCCCCCCTTCCCCGCCTCCGCCGCCCGCAAAACCCTAACCCTCCGTCGTCGATTCCCCGCAGGACATGCGGAAGGCAATCAGCACCATGAAATCCCTCGCCGTAGACTTCGAGAGGGACGGCAAGTCCGACAAGGCAAGCGAACGCCACTGTTTAATCCCCGTCCGACCTCGCCTCTAAACCCCCTAACACCCCCAACGGCACGGGCATTTTTCATTTCAGGTGAAGAAGCTTGAGGAGATGGTTCTGGAGATGGTGGCTTCGTACGAGGACTGCGCGGCCATGGCCCAGGCGATTAAGGCGGTGCCTGGAGTGTATCAGCCGTCTGATCAGGTGGGGTGCTGCCTGCCGTCCGGATTGAAGCGATTTAGGGCCTTTGAAATTGGAGTAATTATGTCTGACTCTTCTTGGCCTTGTTGTTTTGATTCCTTCTCCACTCGAAGCCAACGGATTTCAAAACATTGATCGAGGTGGAGGTTAGCAAGATTAAGGGAGCGTCATCAGCATCACAACAGAACCACCCACTCTTTCGGCAGTTCAGGGAGACTGTCTGGGTATGTGTTACAGAGTAGCATGCTAATGGTCATTTGATGATCTTCAGGATTATGCATTCTAAATGTGCTCCCTGCATTAGCTAGTTGCTCCCATATGATTACAATAGCTAGAATGTGAATTTGGGAACAGAAATGATATGTTTGTGTAATTTTGCAAAATGTCTTATCTTCTGATGTCTTGTGTTGTTTTCTGCAGAATGTTCACCATGCTGGTCAACCTATGCCTGGTGAGGAACAGGAGGACATTGTCATGACTAGCACTCAGATGAGCATCTTAAATGTCACATGCCCATTAACAGGAAAGCCTGTGATTGAATTGATAGATCCAGTTCGCTGGTATGAGTATAATTCTATTCTGTACTTCTGTATCTCGTTGAACATTCTTCGTGGGGTTTTCTAACTCAATAAGTGAAGGTTGAGCTTAACACTTTTCAACCTGGCAAAATTGACGGAATATTTTATGCACTGTCATGCTAAAAGAGAATGATCATTCACAATATTATTTTGGGGCTCCTGCGTTTTTACCCCTGTTTTGTTTTGAAATTGTGATTTTACCCCTGTTTTTTGACTTTGTGAATTTACCCCTATGATTTCAAAACGAAGCAACACTTTGCCCCTATTCCGTCATCCTCCTAACGACGGTGTTAAATTTTGTACAAAAGGACATAAATGCCCTTCTGATTTTGCCCCTGTTTGTTAAGCCTATTTGTGATTTTACCCCTAATTTGGGAATTAGACATTTATATTTGCTCAAATATATTTGGCACAACTTACAATTATTTCAATTCAGATTTGATGTTGAAAAAATATTCAAATTTTCGGCAGCACCTTGGCAATATTTTGATAACATAATGACAACAATATGAAGCACATATAAAACACATGACAACAATCATGGAGAAACATGTCCATATCACATTTCGAAGTCTCCCATACACCATGTGAACATTTCCACAAAAGCTACAAGTCTGCACCATGTCACCATGTCCACAAAAGCAACAAGTCTGCACCATGGCAATATGTCCACAAAAGCAACAAGTCTGCACCATATGAACATGTGCACAAAAGCCACAAGCATCTCATTCAAGGACCACCTAGAGACCTAACAAACTAGCTAGCCTTCCTGTTGTTCCTCTTGTTCGCCGCCCTCCTTGTCCCCTTCCTGTACCTCTATTCATAGAACTTGGACTGAAGAGCGTTGGTTGGTTGGTTTGTAATGATTACAACAACAAATAAGTAGACTAATACAACCATAACTTACATTGGGTCATTGCTGCTCTCTCTTCCCCTTCCTCTTCCTCTCGTCCTCCCCCTCACAGTTTCATTTGCACTAAAAAGAGAAGAAACATGATCTGAAAATTAGCAATGGCTATAGATCGAGAAATAAGTAGTACACCATGACTTACTTTGGGTTGGTGTTGTCCTCTTGTGATCCATGTTGTGAAGAATTGAACCTTCTCTTTTGACTAGCAGTGAGACCTCCTTGGCAAGTCTTGGCTAGATGCCCTGGTTCATTGCACTCAGAACATAATCTTCTTTTCTTACTACTGCTAACCTCATCATATGCCTTGAACCTAGACTTTTTAGGTCTCCCAGGTTTCCTTCTCAATTTAAGCTTATGGATTTTGTAGCCTAAGTCAACACGTGGCCACAGGTCTTTGGATGTCATTGGAATGAAAGTACATGCATATGCCTTTCTCAACCTTTCAACAGAGAAGTATTCATGGACAAAGTCATTCATTTGTACCTCTCTAGTAAGCTTTGCAATGAAAGCTAGAGCATGGCTGCAAAGCTTTCCAGTCACTGCCAAGCCCTACAAGTACATGTCTTCAATTCCCATGTTAACGGCATGCCTGAATCTGTTGACTGTCCACTTCTGCTTTTCCAGGCCCACAAATTAAGACATCATGGTCCTTAATGGCCTTGGATTTAGCATTCAGATCTTTGATAATATCTGGGATTATTTTTCCAGTCATCTTTCTAGCATTCTTTGATCTCAAGACAAATTTCTCGATGATCATTTGTCTTATCTTGTCATGCATTTCCACAATTTGATATTCCTCTGTTTTTGACACCCAACTATTGAAACTCTCAGAAAGGTTATTGTTGATGTAATCTACCTTGCAGTCTTCTGAGAATTTGCTTCTACTCCATATGTATGGATGGTTCTCATCCAACCACTCAAGTGCCCTTGGATCCTTCTCTTCTATGTTCCTCATGAAGAAGTTGAACTTATCAGTTGTGAAGCTCTTGGCAACTGCCCACATATTCTTCCCATAAAGAGTGCCAGTGTAACTTTTCTTCATGTTCTTCCACAAGTGCCTCATACACTCTCTATGCTCAACTCCTGGATAGACATCTTCAACAACAACTTCAATTCCCTTGCCCGCATAAGTACTGATGACCAAACCTATGTGACATATAATTGACATATGTTAGGTAACAACAATTTAAACTTGAAGGGAAACAGGCAAATAGTAGCCATATGTACACACCTGGAGGAGTACCAATTGCTTTTTTCAAGTTTTCGACAAACCAAGTCCAACTTTCTTTAGACTCGGTCTCAATCACCCCATATGCCACTGGGAACAAGCGATTGTGACCATCTACTGCAACAACTGCAGCCAACTGACCTCTTGACCTGCCTGTCAAGTGAGTTACATCCATGGCAATATATGGTCTGCATCCTTGTAAAAACCCATCAATGCATGGCTTTAGAGCAACAAAGAATCTCATGAAACATACATGGCCATTGTGCTCCTCAGTCTCCAGTTCAACAACACTACCAGGCACTGACCTCAGAAGCTCAGCTTGATAAGTAGGAATCAAGTCATAACAATCTTCCCACTTCCCATATATGATATCAAGTGCTCTCATCTTTCCTCTATAAACTCTATCATATGGAACATCCACCGAGTACTTCTTTTTTAACTCATCTTGCAATTCCTTTGGACCCATTTCAGGGTCATCTCGCAATAAGTCCACAACTCTATCACAAACCCATCTGTTTGAGGCCATAGACTGACCACACTTGTTGAAAGAACCGCACGTGTGCTTTGGTCCACTTGTCTTCACCTACAACACAATAATGACAATCCGACATCTTGTTAACAAATTACATCTCAAGTCAACACACAACATGATGGAAAGAGGACCAGATTACCTTGCATCCAATGTACTTCTTGCTTGTAGATGCGAAAAAGTCCACTTACAACCCTTATCAGCTCTCTTGCATATGGCTCTAAATCTTTCTTGATCTTTTTTCACAATCTTAAAAGCATGGTCATGCAAGATAGCATGATGTGTAACTACAGACTTGCACTGATCCACATCTGGGAACACCACATTTACATCAATGCATGGATCATCAGGATCATATGAAAAATGGGAGCATCGTACTCATCAACATCATCAACTATTTGACCATCAGGATCAAACTCTAGGTCAAAGCAATCATCATCAGAGTCAGATAATGCAGCTAAATCAGTGTCATAGCTGCTATCAGAGAATATGCCCTTATCATCATCTCCTACCCCCTCATCATCATTTGTGGTGGCTCTCATTTGTGGTGCCTCCCTCATTTGTGCTCCTCCCTCATTTGTGCTCCCCTCAATTAGGTGTACTCTACTCCTCACACTAGGATGACACCTACGTTTGGTTGGTGAAAACTGCAATGGCCCATCAAAATCATTTATCTGGACATTGATGCAAGCTACCCCCTTGTCTACATTGAGTACAAACCACTCTAAAAGATGTTCATCAGTTTTGATCTCAAATGAGTCATTTTCCAGATCACGCCATAAGGTTATGTATTGCTTAGAACCCCACATGCAATGCTCATCTATGAAATCAATCAACCGAAGTAGCCCAAAGCTATGTATGTCATCAACAACTTTAGTTGGCAAAGTTTTACCCTGCTGCCATGACTTTGGCGCACTGTCTGGCAAGCTGGAAAAAAGATCGAAGTCTAACAACAAGCCGTATACCCCTGTGATTTGGCCCACAAACCACAGAAGTAGTATGCGGTTAGCTAATCCGACTCAAACCATCAACAATGCAGTCACTGGCAACAAAAGAACAATACATAAGGGTTAGGGTTTGCTGAAACCACCTTTGTTCTTCCATGTTGATCGATTCGAGTGATCCGGTGTCTAGGAGGTGTCCTGAGCGCCGTGTGCTGAGCAGGATATCCGCAAGGCGTGGGGCTCTCCATGCGCGCCCCTGCAGCCACGAAGCCGAGCGCCTAGAGGAAGAAGACGACCCGCGGCCAGGCGCCGCCGGGACCTGTGGGCGGACGCCGCCGGTGAGCCGCGGCAGGGCGCCGCCGCCGCCGCCCGGCGTGCGCACGCCGACCTGCGGGCGGGCGCCGCGGCCTCCCCGCCCCTAGAGGAAGGCCGCGCCCGCACCTTGGAGCCGCGGCCGGGAGGCAGCTCCGCGCCTTGGAAGCAGCCCCTCCCTGCGCCCGAACCTGGAGTCGTGGCCTCCCCTCCCCTTTGGTGCTTCTGCAGCCGCCGCTGGAAAAGCCGCGCCCAAGCCCGATGCAAGCGACGACGCCCTGTGCGTTTGGGATGAGGAGATAAGGATAAGGGGCACTATGGTCATTTGGCCTTTGTTTTTCAGATTTAGAATTTTTTAATTCATTTAATCCATGTCCATCTGACGGACGTCAGAAGCAGGGGCAAACGGACCATTCAGTTCAAAATAACAGGGGTAAAAACACAAAGTTGAAAAAGCAAGGGCAAAATCACAATTAGCTTACTGGATAGGGGTAAGAACACAATTTTCCCTATTATTTTCAACCGATAAAGATGGAGCGGAAATTGTAGATACAAGAAACATGTTTCAACAGCAGTTTAAATTATGTTTGTTGAGTACTATATTTGGTCCTGTATCCTTTCGGTGACTTACTGATATCTGGATTTTCTTGGCCTCATTTGATATGGTATTCATGTCAGTAGAATGATTTGCAGCCTGTTCGTTTGGCTGTGGCTTGTCGTAAACGATCGTAAATTTCCAGTCGGAACAGTATTTTTCTCTCACACAAACCAGCTAACAGTACTTCTTCACGAACCAGCAACGAAACGAACCGGCCAACCGAACAGGCTGTTGTTCTCAGCTCCCTGTCTCCCTGATGGAGCTACTAGTTTGCCATTGTCAATAGTGTAACAGTCTTCTACACCAGATATCTGGTGCTACATATACAACCCTTTCTGGCAACCTTACGTACTTTGAGACAGCCGAAAAGTAATAATTTCCTTTCTGTCACCATGGAATACTATGATACAACCATGTGCCATTTTTGGCTGATAAATCCCCAATTGGTTATTACTCCATGACATACTTTGTTTCTTTAGTATAAAGATTTGACTGACAATTTATACATTGGTTTTTCATTTATGTGATACAGAACCATAAAATTTCTTATATGAATATAATAAGATCAATTTTGTGTCACAAAAGTTATGTTAATAACATTTTTTTTTTGTCAAAGGCTTGCCATATTGAAAAGAAATATACCTTGTAAAGATGAACAGATGGAATAGAGGGGATTGCTAGTTACTACTTCCTCTATTACAAATTATAGTTCACTTTAGCTTTGTCCTAAATCAAACGTATCTAACTTTGACCAAGTTTTAAAAAAGCATTAACATCTGCAACGTCAAATTAGTTTCATTAAGTTCTCCATGTAATATTTCTTGATAATGCATTTATGTGAATTTGTAAATGATATACTGTATTTTTCTAAAAATTGAGTCAAATTTATAGAATTATAGTTTGAAACGGGGTAGTACTTAGGCATTTGAATGTTATCTGTTCAGTATAGATGTAGATATAATTCATTGTCCTGAACTGATGATAATTTCCTATGCAGTGTGGATTGCAAGCACATATATGAAAAGGACCCAATAATGCAATATATAAGGTCCAAAAAACCACCACAGTGCCCTATTGCAGGTATATCATTGCTCCCTGGCCATTCCTTGGTGCTTCCTTTTCATGAGGTGCTCACTTTGTTTTTTCTTCATCAATCAGGCTGTCCTAGAGTCCTAGAAAGAGGGAAGGTTATCTGTGATCCCCTCCTCCGTATTGAAATCGAAGAGCTGCGTTCTTCAGAGACCGGTGCTCCAAATGCTACAAACATAGACGATTTGACCGATCTAATTGACGATGACGAGGAGTGAGGAGAAGGCCTGTTAGAGGGGTGTTGACAGACTTATTGTTTAGGAGGATAGGGTTTAGTATGTTTAGGAATCAGGATACACTGTCTTGTTGGATTCTGTAGGTTGATGGGTTTTAGTATGCTCAGGTTGCACTCTTTTGTCTTGTTGGGTTCTGCATCTGATCACTTTGATATGTTCCATGGCGAATGTGACTTTAGTGTTTGGGTGAAGTAACCTAACTTTGCAGTTATGGAGTGGTATAACGCTGGCAGACTATTCTGCACTTTATGGCAATATATTCTCCTGTATCAAACTGCCTTTTGTCCTATTGGGTTGATTGCCACCAGGAAATGCGCACGTTGCCTTCTGGACGTGATGAGTAACATGTAACATGATCAGCGACCAGGGAAGAGGAAGACCGATTGTTATCCTTTTGGGTTGACAAACTCTTTTCTAGGTGAAACCTTGTAGCAGATTTTGATTTATTTTTCGTTAAACATGTTCATTCAGTCTTCATTAGTTTTCCAACCCATGATTATGTTTTTATAGTGACACACCTCGCTCGAAATTTCAGGTATTCGGAGGAAAGATGAAACAGAAGCCACCACGGAGGTCAAGGTTCGCAGGCGACACTACATAACATAATCGTAAAGAGGCGGTGTCGCGACGGCAACTCTCGTGCGAAGAGAAACAGGTGTAAGGTGTTGGCGAGGAAGTGCGGCATGCTTTCAGAGCGGCGGTGGTTTGGCGGACCTCGGGCGCACGGCACGGTCACGGGCGGACGACCAAAACGTTGGCACCGACAGAAACAACTATGTCTATGCAAGGACGTGCAGAATCAGCACAAACTGTCTGGGCTTCTCGTCGAGAGCTACGACTCGACTTGCAAACACGCGCTCGCTGCGGACACATCACCGAGCTGAAGGCCTGCCTCACCGGGCTGGGACCTGAAAGGTGCTCCCTGTCCGACCTATTTCAGTTTTCACAACCATATTTTATGTCCTGGGTTTTGCTACCACTCTCGCTATAGGAGGATGGCTATGAACCGCACTTGTTCTAACAAGAAATCAAGTGCCGACATGTACATAACAAATGAGCTGGCAGAATGCTCTAAACATGACATCTAGGACTAGTAGCACAACTAACCTCTCAGATCATTGGCACCGCCGTTAATCTGTTGCCAGTATATAGCCTACTTTGATCGACATGCCAACTTGAATGTCAGAAAGATATGGGGGTGGGGCAGAGGCGTCAAGCGGCCCCAAGAAATTTGTTCTCATAATAATACTTTATAGTCTAGAACTATGCCAATGCAAACAAACCCTCTATAAATAGGTTTGCCATAGCATACGGCTTATAAACATAGAGGCAAGTTGTAAGGAGCAACAAATGCTGATAACACGGAGCACTGACGGTTGTCATACAAAGTGCTCTAACAACTACAACTAGGATACAAGTTTGGTCAGCATCCTCGATCCATCCATCTTCATGATACCGAATCATCAACCACTTGAGACTATCCACACTACGCAACACAGCCTGCAAAAATACAACACAACAATAAGCGCATGTGCACAAGAACAGTCTAACTTATATGCTTTGAGTGTCACTAACATGAAGACAAATGCGGTACTAGTATATCTTCACCTCCAGGACAAGACAATTTTACTAACAGATCAGATCATCATATCCACTGTTGAAACATCAATCACCCTACCAACAACAGGCCTCTGCTCATGAATCTGCAGGATTTTATAGTTAAAAAGGAAGCTAACTCTAGAATGACATCAAGGTTACAGGGTGTAGAGTACTCACAGTGGCACAACTGTTGCCCAGCGATTTCGGCACTTGTTGCTTCAAAGACAGGAAGGGGGATGGATAGCTGGTATCACCACAGTCCTCTTTGATTGCTGGAACCTTCTCAGTCAAAGATATGCCAAATATTTTGCAACTATTTTTGCTAACTTCCCTGTTATCTGATCCGTCTTTTCCAACAGCAATAGTGGGGTGAAATTTCTCGATGGTCACATCTCTATTTCCCATTCCTCCAGAAACATGAGCCTGGAGCATCATCGTTCGCTCAGTTCCTCCAATACCTCCAGCATGGCCAAACATTGCACGTCTATCCTCATTCTTATCCAAATGACAATGCCCAAATTCAAACGGGGACAACTTTGGATTTTCTCGTTGAAACATTAGGACAGATGGTGGAGATGAGGATTGAGATGGAATAGCTGGTGCTTGTGGCCCACGAAAAGCACATCCATGAAGCTGTGGATGCCACTTACTCGCTTGAGTAGGCACATGAGAACCACCTTGCTGATGAAAGCCGCTATTTCTCAAACTTGCATCGACTAGAGTTCCTCTGTAGGGATGAAATACTTCTTGACCTTGCAAGACCTTTTGGAATCTTGGAGACTCCCCAAAGCCTGAGCAATGGTAGGAAAACCTAGGGTTTCCTAGTGGTGTTCTGACACCAATTCTCGGAACCCCTGGGACACTGTTACTCACATTATTGGAGCAACTTCGCTCATCAATGTACTGCATGTTCCTTGCTTCACATGGCTGAGAAGTTGCAACAGCAGCATTATCATGAGTTCTATAACCCAATAATTCTTGACCTTGCAAGACCTTGTGGAATTGGGCAGATTCCGCAAAATCAGGACCACCACTTCCATCTACCAAAATGAAAATATTACTCATGAAGGAAGATAACAACATAACCATTAAGTGGACAGTTTTATTATTATTCTTTTTGGGGGCTGGGGGGAGAACAGACATACTTGGAACTAGGTAGTCCGGGGGAAGACATGGTTTCAGTCTCTTTGCATTTGGTGCAGACATGTGGGATCCTGAAACTGAACTAGTCAGCTCAATCTCCCAAGGAGAAATCCTGTTCGGTCGACGAAAATCTACATCATCATCCCAACGGACCTGCAAAAACGATTAACTGGTTAATATAAACCTGGCTTACTAAGTCAAGAGAGAGTATTATGTGCCCCCACAATGTGCACTCAGGGTAACAAGAAACCAAAATGAAATAAACTTATTTATGTTGTGAAACAAGTGCCTCTCCAAATAGACACCTCTTCAAGATGCCTCTACAAATAGACACCTCTTCATGAGTGATCTCATCAAAGATTAGAGTAGGCACTAGTAAGTGTATTTGGTGGTTACCATAGCCACCAAAGGGCATGTCCTATGGCACAGAGAGTGGAAATGGTTGCCGTATCCTATCGGGACAAGACACCCTTTCACCAAACTACTTCACCATGTATATATTTCCATGATCAGATCAACGCAAAACAAGTTCTACCAATTTTATCATTCCACTTACATTTCATACTTTAACGATTTACTTAGAAGTGCCCTGATCAAGGAAACCAGGCTGGCACAAGGCAAGCCTCTTTTTTAGATAAGACACAACATGCCTCTAAACTGATGCTCATCAAAGAATGTGCTCTGGAGAACAACTTACGTAAAAAAATTAATGTCATTTCGATCAACCTTCTACATCAAACAGAGAGCACAGGATGCATAGTAGGCTGCAAATTGCAATCCTCAACATTGGTTGTGCATTGTATTACTGGATAGATGTGGAAGATTGCTTATTGGCTTATTAGCAAGCAAATAGTGCAAATAGGTGGCAAAGGCAACTACACGATGCAAATGCTTAGCGTCCTGTATAAAGATACAGGTTATATTCTGTGTATCTGTAAGAGAGAAGAACTAGAGAGAATCACTCAACTTCCATTACTTTCAGACAGAGGTACATATACATGAACCAGAGCTTAGCCAACCATTGTGACTAACAGCCGATCCTATAATCTAGGCGTCATGGGAATGTTGAGGCCGTTGGCCCATTCAGTTACACAACAGATAGAAACAAACTCTGAAGAATCTTCCTAGGCTATGTCGCTGGCAGTATCTAACACGGATTATTTTCATATGTAACTAAACTTTACCACCAGAAAAGTTATACAGAAAGTCAAGCATTAAAACTTAAGGCAACATTACCATCAAAGATTTCCACTTCGAACCACGCCACATGGGGTCAGCATCACCAATTCCTGCTATGATCCCTGTGCATCTGCATAATACTCTGATGTGTCAACCATAATAAATCCGTGTAAAGATGAGAACAACTTTTGGAGCACACCAACCTTCTTTCAGAAGCATCATCACTCTCATATCTCATTTTGAACCTCGAACCGGCAGAAATTTGTTGACTGAAGCTCTTCATAAACTTCGAATATGGTATAATGAATTCAGATTGGCTTAATCTGTAAGGTTTTTGGAAAGCAGTAATTGCCATCAGGGCCATAATTGTTGGTAGACAGAAAGGCAAGGCTTGCAGCAAAGCTCATGTATATTTCCATTTTTTAGAGAATATTTACACTTTCTAATTTACCACATCAGGATCCAAGAAGGTAAAAATGCACACGATGTGTACTTGTCATAATATCAAAAAAAAGATTTGTGGAACTAATGCAGGTGGTAACATCAATTCAAAGAGCAATAATATCACTTAATGTTGGATTCCAGTAAGAGTCTTGAATTACTAGACGAATTATGTCATGGTAAATGGGTAGCACTTGGAACTAATGTAATGGGACTTGCTGTGCTACATGAAACAGCTTAGGAAATGATATCACACATGATTTCAAATCCTCATCAACCAGCAATAAATAGTTATTGCATTGTAGCTAAAAATCACATTTTAGTTCATATTATCTCAAAGATCAGCATCAACATGAACATGCAAAGCATTAAACAGAAACAGCTATATTCATCATCACCTGGGGTTGTAGTAGATGTGGAACACACTTTTTGTGGCCACAGCATGTGCTATGTTAGCTAGTGAACCAAGATTTGAACACTGATTATAAAGAGCTGGAAAAGCAGATCCACTTTTAAGCTGAGCAGCACGGCGCACTCCAAGTCTTAGCTCCCCATCATCACCCCTGAAAATTATGAGGAATCCTCAGAAAGGACCAACACCAACATGTGATAATTATCTCCATCTTCGCGGTGGCCTACCTCAAAAATAGCACGGCGTCCCCTGAGACAAGCTTCTTCTTATTGATAAATGCACTCCATCCAGTGGTTAAAAGGTGCCTGCGGGGCTGGCCTGCATCACATTCAGGTGCAGATTCATCAGAAATCAAGGACCACACACATGACATATAACTTTCATGTTTGTCCTTTACATTCATTAAAATGGGACCATACCTTTCCGAACAAAAAATCAGATGATTTTCATGAGCAAAACGGTAAATTTTAAGTACAACTGCAATAACTAACCAATGACATGAGAAATGCAGAGCATAGCACACAAGATAGCAATGCAGAGAGCAGGAAACATTGGCATAGTTTGTACAACCCACAACATGTAATCATTACTAGTTCTGATCATGATGGTGACATATATAGCCAAAGGGTGACTGAGGAAACATGGCTTCAAATCCTGGACTAAGTGAGCAGAGATGAACATTTCCATGTGCTCAATCCAAACAAGAAATGCAAGTCCTATAAAACACTAATCACCGATTGAAGTGCAACCATTCAACATCGTTCACAGATACTGAATGATTCAGGGTCAACAAGTACAGAAGCCTGCTGATATCTCAGTATTTGTTCATGTACCTCGATAAATGTGGCGGAACCTCCACTCTGTTCCGTGCAAATCCTTGGCGACAAGCTCCTGCGAGGGCCGCTGCTGGCTGTAGTCCTGCACGCCCCAAGAGCAGATGATTCAGAATCGCAGTTGAGAGCACCAACCGGGCACCGAAAAGGTCGAAGCTTTCCAAGGCAGCGCAAGCGAACCAGAGGCGGGAAGCAGTCCTCGGCGGCGCGGCGCGGCACGGAGAAGCCGCCGTGCGTGCTGGTGTCGGAGGCCGTGAGCGTCTTGCAGAACATGTGAGGCATCCGCAAGAACCGCTGCTTCACGGTCTCCCCGTCGTCGCCGTCCCCGGCGCTCCCGTCCTCGGACCCTCCGCGCAGTCGCCTCGCGACATCCTGCACGACGCGCCGGAAGTAAGCGCCCCAAGAAACACAAATCAGACCAAAATCCCGTCTTAATGGACGCAACAGAGATATCAATCCGAATCCAATGCCGCTGGAGCACTGTAGCTTCCGCGAACCTCGTTCTCGGCGAGGAGGGCGAGCTGGGTGTACACCTCGTCTGTGGACGCGTCCGCCTGCAACAAGCGCAAGAGGAGGACAAGTCAATGGAAGCCGCACCGGCACGGGCAACCCACGCACGCAGGCACACACACACATTGAGGAGCTCGCGGAGGCAGGAACCGGCGCACGCACATGGAGAGTGACGTCGACGACGCGGCAGAAGACGTGGGGCGGCAGGGCGGCGGGTGCCGGCGCGCCTCCGCCGGCGGCGTCGCCGAGGTGCTCGAGGTGTCCCTGCGGGAGGTACACCACGACGCTCCCTTTCCGCGGCAGCGGCGCGACGGGGCCCGCGCAGGCGTGCCACAGCTCGAGGCACACCGCGGCGCCCGGCCTCGGCTGGGGCGGCGGGGGCGTGGCCGCGGAGCTGGTGGGGCTCTGCTGGGAGCAGGCGTTGCCGGGCTCCGCCTCCTCCTCGTCCTCCTCCACGGTGTCGTTGAGGTCGATCCCCGCCATGGCGGCTGCGGGCGAGGCACGGGCTTGGAGCACGAGAAGGGGAGCGGCACGCAGGGAGCGGGAAGGAGGCAGGGAGCTAGCAAGTGATTAATGAGGAGGGTGGGGGCGGAGGAGGCTGCAGGGCAAGAAGGCGAAGAAAGAACCACCAGGGAGAGGGGGTTAGCAGGGAGGCAGCATCGGAGAGGGCGGTGTGGTGGGGTGACACATCGTGGTAATGGCCATGAGGCCGGGGGGTTATGGAGGCCGAGGCTATAGGCAGCTACAACCAAGCTACCCTCCTACTCCTCCCCACAGGCCACCTATCCAGCTAGAGCTAGGAGGGAGGGGAGGGAGACGAGGACAGAGAGGGCGGGGGTTGCGTGGCTGTCACTGTAGCTGTGAGCCAGCCAGCCAGCCAGCCAGCAGCGGCAGCAACCGGAAAAGACGCACGGTGCGTGAGGGGGACGCCCGTGCCGGTGCCGTGCGTGCCAGTAGTGCGTGCCAGTAGAAATCAACACTTGTTGGAGTATACCCTGGCGTTGTTCAGATCACCTCCAAATTCTAATTTTTTTCACTCTCTCTCTAACATCAATTTTTGAACCCATGTATAGAGCATTAAATGTAAATAAAAAAAATAACTAATTACACAGTTTGGTTGTAAATCACGATATGAATCTTTTGAGCCTAATTAGTCTATAATCGGATAAAATTTATCAAATACAAATAAAACATACTACGGTGTCCAGGTTAAAAAAAATACGATCTAAACAATGCCCTGCTCCACTGCCGCGCTGCGTTGAGTTCTTGCCTTTGGCGACCGTGGAGTAGTAGTACTGTAGTAAAAAAATGGGGAGAGCGCCGGCGCGGTGTGGTGGTCACTGGTCAGCTGCCGGCCTGCCGCTGCAGCTGTTAAAAGAGATGGCCCGGGAAGGGTGAAAGAAGAGAGCGTACGATGCGGGAGGCGCGCACAGTGATGGCTGGCGCAGGCGGGCGGCAGAGGAGAGAGACGTGGATGGATGCGGACAGACGCCTGGTTCAGACTGAAAAAAAAATAAATAAATATTATTTTTCGTTTTATTTGACAAATATTATCCAAATATGTAGACAAACTAGGCAAAAAGATTCATCTCATTATTTCCAACTAAACTATATAATTAGTTTTTTTTACTCTATATTTAATAATCCATGCAAATAGCTTAACGTGACGAAGAGAGAGAAAAAAAACTTGGAATTTAGAAGGCATCTAATCAAGGCCGGAGAGCGTAGGACAGTAGCAGCAGTGGTGTACTGCAGCAAGGAACAGGAGTATTTATTTTATTTGGTACGGTAACTGACTGGCGATGCGACTCGCATTTCCTTCCACTGCTACTGGACTCGACAGCGTAGTATAGGAGGACATTGTACACGCACCTGTCCGTCCGTGTACACGCAGGCGGCAGGTGGAACGGTGGTAGCCTGCCTATCGGGGTCGAACAAGATAAACGTGACATCAACACATGCACTGTGCTGAAGTCCAATACGCCGTCCATTCATTCATTCATAATACAGTAAACGTGTCGTGGTCCCTGTACAATTATGCACAGACAAGCATTGTACTCTGTTGCTATACTTGGCCGCGCTAGGTAGGCGTCGTCGTCGTCGTCAAGTGTCATTGCTAGTCCGTACTCCAGCGGCCCGGGTCAGGCGTCCATTACTATCAACTCGCTGTAGCCATTTGCGCGTGTCGCTGTCCCTGTCACTCTGTCTCCCGCCCCTGTGGCTGGCTCGCTACGCTACGGAAGGAGTAGTATGGTACAGCCACGTCATCTACGGTCAATTTTAATACTAGTTCACTCGCGTAATAATAGTCAGATCTCGATGCGTATCACTACTACTAGTAAATTAGTGATATCAACTAAATAAAAAAACGATTTTGGTATTGAAATAAAGGAATAAAGAGGAGGAAATGTTTTTAGACAACAAACAATGTCTACACAGTAACTAAGATACGAAGATACATAGGTAGAGTAGATGGTAAGAGAGAAGACACGCGATTGGATAGAAAAACATTATGAACAAAACCATCCATTTGAAATATTGGTATAATAATGTCTACGTGACTTGACAACTTTAGAAACTATATTCTATATTTTATTTTTTGGGACTACTCTAAGGCCCTTTGGTTACTAACTAAAGTTTAGTCACTTTTTAGTCACCCTCGGGCACTAATAAAGGTGATTAATTTACTTTAGTCACATTTTAGTTCACCCGTTTGGCATTTTAGGGACTAAAAGTGACTAAAGTTTAGTCCATAAAGTTTAATCACCATAAACAAACAGGCCCTTGGTGATCTAAAGAGGGCAGTGATGACTCATAAATCATGAGATAGTTTCTACATTTAGAAAGTCATATAGAATTTTCAATTTACCAAAGTCGTATGTAGATGTTACATAAAGAAATCATTTTTTCCTACAGATGCTTTCTTAAAAGTAGAATTGATCTAACGACAAGTTTTGTCTCTCCTATCATGTACTCACATCTCTTTCTATTCTGATTCTCATGTAGACATAATTTCTTGTATAAAAAACTTTACATTCCTTCTTCCTTTGTTCTATTGCCACACTATTATTTTGTTTGGTTGATGCTTTTACTTAAATGTCATTCAAACCGTCCTAGTTTGTACATCCTGGTTTGTGGGTTAAAGGCTGCCCATGTACTTGCGTTCAGTCATTTTTGCGTTTTAGTTTAGGACCTCTTTTTTGCTCAAACAAAACCAGCCAGCCAGACTCTAGTTGCGGTTGAGGGCGAGGTTGATGTCCGTGCGTTGGCACGACACCTCACCATTATTGATCGTGTCGCCTCGCCGAGGTGGTCCACACGCCGCCGCGCACCGCATCTGATGTAAATCGTTGTTGAGGCGACGATCCGATTTGTCGCGCTTTTAGAATATATACGATCACAGCATCTGGAGTACTACAGAATGTTGGTTTGCTAGTGTCTGACTTATAAGTCATGGTTTATTAGTCAACGAATAGTATTTTCTCTCACACCAAACCAGCCAACAGCACTTTCAGCCATGACTTATAAAGCCAAACCAGCCTAAACGAACAGCTTGCTAGTCTTTCTCTTTTCTAAATAAATTCCTTCTTACTAATATCGAGTAAAATTTATGAGCGGTCTCTAAACTTCCACGATGACATCATTTGAGTTTCTAACTCTTGATTTTTGATATTCAAGTCCCTAAGCTTGTACAGTATTGTTACTCATGTCTCCAACTCTCAATTTTCGATATTTATATCCCAAAACTTGTAGAATAGCGCCATCTGAACTCACGGCTCAACACACAATTATCGTGCTTTGTTAGTAGCATCTGTGTGCAACTTTGGGACCTAGATGACATTGTCGTACAACCATCAACTATGAGAATCCAAATATCAAAATTTGAGAGTTATGGACGAGAATAACACCACAATATAACTTTAGGGACTCAAATATGTAAAATCGAGAGTTAAGGATCCAGATAACATCATCACTGCAATGCAGGCTTGGAAGAATCGATATCCTACCTAGGATCGTTTTTTACCTCACGGTATGGGATTATAGTATCAAAGTTCAGATCGAATTTAATTTTATAAATTATAGATTATAGATTTAAGAGATTTGTATTTGTGATTTCTATTAAATCACCTTTTTAAATTTAAAAGTACATTCCTTGACATTTCTTCCACTAAAACATTTTTAGACCCTACGCAACACAACTTAAGCCAACATGAACGTATACAGTTTCCCTGGTGTTTTCTTGTTCTACACGGACAAGTTTGATTTTCATAAATTGTGTTTTGTTGTTTACATTTTGTAGCGTGTAGCCACCTGTGTATTCTAGTTCATGTCTCATGTTTCTAGTAGAGATACAAGGAATGAGAATATTTCATTTTTGTGTGCGGATCAGCTTATGCAAACCTGCATTTTCTAATGCTCCATCGTAGCTATGTAAATATGTACGACTAAATCTGACATCGTAGCTAATGCGGCATTAGATTTACTTTGAACATTATGTAAGTCTGTACCGTATAAAAGCCAATGCAGACAACCAAATATGGATAGACGGCATTGCATAATCTTGAAAAAAAAACTAATATATGCGACCAATTAGATCTTTTGTGTATGAAGATTCTAAGATTCTAGGATACAGATCGGGACAGTGACAATGTTGCTCCAAAGTGATTTCGACACGGTACACCAGCTTTGCCAAAGATGTGATAAATGTTAACTGATGACACGGTTCAGTTCATGTAGTAGGCACTAGGCAGTACTCTGTCCATTGCAAATTTGGAACGGTGGAGTAGAAAATAAAGGCACAATAGCCATTTTAGTCCATCGACTATAACTCGAGGCTCAATTTCATCCCTAAACTTTTAAAACGGATGTTTTGATCCTCAAACTTTAGTTTTAAGCTCAATTTCATCACACAACTACGAAGATGATCGTTTCAGTCCTCAAATTTTGTATTTTGGGCACAATTTCATCCATAAACTATCAAAGTGCATTTAACTTTTATTTTCAACTCAATTTTGTCTATTCAAAAAGAAAAAACATGATATTTTAGGCACAATTTCATCCATAAATTATCAAAATTATAGATCTGCTTATTGTTTCAATATATTCATGTATCTTAAAGAATAAATAGTGTTCGATGCAACTGTAATTGGCCCCACAAATATCATTTAGTCGGATATATATAAATGGTACCATTATAAGATAACATTAAAAATAAACAGCTTGTAATTATTAATGGCCACGAAAGAGTTTTGGGATGAATAGTATTTTCTATCTTCAATTGTTGGTGGTTTTGGAGCTAGCCAAGTGCAACAGTGCAGCATTCCACGTAGAACGTAGACAAAGTTGAGTTGAAAATAGAAGTTTAAAGAACAAAATACACTTTGATAGTTTGTAAACAAAATTGAGCCCAAAATGTAAAGTTTAAGGACTAAAACCATCATCTTCATAGTTCTAGTATGAAATTGCACATAAAAATAGAGTTT